TTCTTGGTTGATATGCTATGTCATATTCGCTTAACTCTATAGCCCATTTGGCTAGTCTACCCGATAACTCTTGTTTATGCAGTATGTTGCGTAAAGGATAAGCAGTTACTACAGAGATAGGATGACATTGAAAATAAGGCCTTAACTTCCTAGATGCCATAATTAATGCGAGTGCAAGTTTTTCTAGATGAGGATATCGAATCTCAGCATCTAATAATGAATTACTAACATAATAAATCGGAGATTGTTTACCTTGGTCCTCCCGAACTAACAGAGCACTTACCGCTACTTCTGAAACAGCAAGGTAAATAAGTAGTTTTTCCCCATCTTTTGGTTTTGCGAACAATGGTGGATTTGATAGGTATGTTTTCAAATTTTTAAGCGCCTGTTGGCATTCTTCAGTCCATTCAAATTGATCTTGCTTTTTTAGGGCGGAAAAGAACCTGAAGCATTTTTCTGATGACTTGGAAATAAATCTTCCCAAAGCAGCTATTCTTCCCGTCAGTCATTGTACTTCTTTTTTATTCGTTAGTGCATCCGGAATTTCTTCAATATCTTTAATCTGCGCGGGACTTACTTCAATGCCACAGTTAGAATCAAGAAATCCCAAGAACTTACCTGACGAAATCCCAAACGCGCATTTTTCAGGGTTCAATTTCATATTAAATTTGCGAAGAATCTGAAAAGCATCAGTCAAGTGTTGAATATGATCTCCTGCTTGTTGTCACTTGACTAGCATATGATCTATATAAACTTCCATGGTTTTCCCTAGATATTCCTGAAACATTTTGGTCACCAGCCTTTGATACGTGGCCTCAACATTCTTGAGACCAAAGGGCATCACTTTGTAACAATAAGTCCCCCTGTCTGTTATAAATGAAGTCTTTTCTTCGTCTATTGGATCCATTTTTATCTGATTATACCCTGAATAGGCATCTAAAAAACTCAATAATTCATGTCCTGCAGTAACATCAATTAATTGATCTATATGCGGTATTGGGAAAGAATCTTTAGGGCAAGCTTTATCCAGATCAGTATAATCTACACAAACTCGTCACTTACCATTCTTTTTAGGCACTACAACAGTATTAGCCAACCAATTTGGATACGTTACCTCGCGGATAGACCCAATTTTTAAAAGTTTCTGCACCTCATCTTGAATCACCTGATTTTTGAAGGAACCTTGCTTCCGTTTCTTTTGTTTGACAGGTGGGTATGACGGATCTTCATTTAACTTGTGAGTCATTACATCCGGGGGTATACCTGTCATATCTGAATGGGACCAAGCAAAGCAGTCTATGTTAGCTTTTAAAAATTCAATTAACTTACATTTCATTTCATGGCTGAGGTTGGTCCCGACGTAGACTTTTCTCTCAGGCCAGGGTGCAAATAATACTACAGCTTCTAACTCCTCGATCCTTGTTTTGATGTTTTCATTTTCTTTTGGTTCTTGGATGGTATCAGGCCTCGAGTCTACATCTGTTTGCCCATGCCTAGTTGAGGTTTGGTGTAGCAACATTCTCAACTTGGTTCTGTGATTACTATTTATCTTTGCTTTTTGCGCTTGCATCTGCTACGGAATTAATGCTCCGGGACGCTTGCTGGTCACCACGTATTTTCCGTATTCCCATTGTGAAGAGAATTTGATAACTTGATGCAAAGTAGATGGTATAGCATCCATCTCATGTATCCATGGTCTACTAAGAATTATATTGTAAGCCATATCCATTTCTACCACTTGAAATTTGGTGTCTTTGACCACTCCTTCTGCAAATGAGGTGAGCATTATCTCTCCTTTTGTCACAACGCTCGAGTTGTCTAAACCAGATAAGGTATGAGCTTTGGGTATCAACTTATCATCAGCTTGTATCTCCTTTACCACTCTTAAAAGAATGATATTAACGGAACTACCTGGATCAATCAAGACTCGTTTCACATTAGTGTCATGTACAAGTAAAGATATTACCAGTGCATCATTATGTGGGGTCTGTATGCCATCTGCATCTGCGTCATCAAATGTAATACTATCTTCTTCTAAAACCCGTCGAACTCGCTTCCCGTATGTAACTGTTATTTTGGACACCTTCTTCACTGCTGTGTATGTTACGCCGTTGATTTCTTCTCCTCCACTTATGACATTAACTGTCCTTTTCGGTGAAGGGGGTTTTGGGGGCTCCTGCCTATTTTTCATATATGCCTGCTTTCCCTTTTCACTAAATAACTCCGTTAAATATCCTTGTTTTAATAAATGTTCCACTTCACCTTGCAGCAATCTACAATCCGTCATTTTGTGACCGTGATCGTTGTGAATTCACACCAAAAATCAGGATTTCGTCTGTTCTGGTTTGATCTCATTTCCCTTGGCCAGCGTACCTTGTCTCCCATGCTCCTTGAAACAGCTACCAACTCGGATGTGCTGACATTAAAACTATAACCGCCGAACTTTGCCTTCGAGCTTTTATCATCCTCTCGCGTCTCTCGCGTGTTTTGTTCTTTTCCGAACCTTGACGACGAACCTGACTCTCTATCTCTTGATCTATGATCGTACCTTAGGTTTTCCTATTTTGAATGCGAGTCTCTTCCTGCTGGTCCCATGTATGGCTCGTACCTATTTTTTCCGGACCTTTTTTCAGATTCAGTGGCCTTGAATTTACCCTTTCATCCCTTCGAGATTGAATAGTGGTATCCTCTTCTATCCGCAGCTTTGTGCTATATCTGTTATAAACATCATTCCAAGTTGTTGCTGGAAATTCACGCAGACTTTCCTCGAGTCTTCTCGTGGCTTCTGAACTTTTTTTCATTTAGATTGCTGGTAAATGCCATAGCTGCCCAGTTATCTGGTACGCGTGGCAACATCATCCTCTCTCGCTGGAATCTGTCCATGAATTCCCCGAGCAGTTCCGTATCCCCTTGCTTTATTTTGAAAATATCCTCCATTCTTTTCTTAATTTTCTGAGCTCCTGAGTGTGCTTTGATGAATGAATCTGCAAGTTCAGCAAAAGAATCTTTATAATTTTCGGGTAAAAGAGAATACAATGTTAATGCTCCCTTAGTGAGTGTTTCTCCGAATTTTTTGACCAACACTGATTCAATTTCTTGCTTGGTCAAGTCGTTGCCTTTTACACCGGTTGTGAATGCAGTTACGTGATCCCTTGGATCAGTTGTCCCATCATATTTCAGAATGTCGGGCATCTTGAATTTCTTCGGAATTGGTAAAGGGGCTGCATTTGGCTTGCAAGGTTGTTGTGAGTATTTGTCTATATCTATTCCCTTGATTACAGGCGACACTCTAGGTATTTGCTCTATGTGGTCGCTCTGCTCCTTGAGCTGTTTCTGCAAAGTTAGTACCAAATTTTGTAAATCAGAATTAACTAGGTTACCTGACCCTCCATCACGGGATTCGCTAGGAGTTCCTCCACTGCCTGAATTAACGAGTCCTGAGCGAGGATTTTCTAAGGTGTTGTTGTTTAGAGTTGATGTTGGCGACACGACTGGCAGCTGGTTAGCGAAGGCCTCAAGAGCATTGCTGACCTGTTCAGCAATTAATATTTTCAAAGCTTCATTAATAGCCCCATCATTTTCAAATTGATCATTCATATTTGATCGAGACCCATTAGGAGTTCCTTCTCGAGATTGTCGAGGAGAATTTTGTGGGGAAGGGACCGGAGTTCCCGTGCCTTGCAGATTCTCCTGTTGTTGGTGACCTCCTTTATTGTTGTCATTTACATTCCACATGATTGTTTTGACCAAAAATTCGATTCGGAAAGTAATAGATTATCAGATTCCCGGTAACGGAACCAATTTGTTTAACCAAAAAATAGGAAATTCGGGTCAAAGGGTATTTTTTAGAAGAACTCGGGTTACTGATAATCAAATTGGAAATAAATAAGAAGAATTGAGATGATTGATAGCTGAGTAAAAAGAAAGCAAAGTAAAAAGTAAATCAGTGTATTCCAATAATATTGTGTGTCTTTACAAGTCTTATATCTCTCCTTTTATAGCTATCTCTCAATAATACGTTTCCTTTCCTCTCATAATAGAGTCATTATGAGCAATTAATGACATTTAATATAACGTTATAATTGGTAGTCGTAACTGTTTCGTGAAGATTCTATAACGTTTTACATCATTGATGCTCATTAATTGCAGGTAGTACGTATTTGCACTTTTTGCTATCCAGTTTCATTCCTTTGATGTCTTTTCATATTACCAAGAGGCTCGAGTAACTGTTCTTCTCATGTCTTTCTTGAATCTCTGCCCGTGCCTGTCAAAGCTCGTGCCTCTTCAGCTATCTTTTGCCAGCTGTCACTCTTTTATTGATCCACGTGTCTTGGTATTTCATCACATAATTAATTCAATATATTAACTTGATTTTCCCGATACAAGTTCCTATTTGTATCATCTCCCTGTTGTTAGCTTCTTAAACCTTTCTTACAACATTACCTTTTCTTAATAAATGTTACAAAGTTCGTTCTTTTATGTTCTTTCTATCTTCTCCCCTAATTTTTGTATTTTTTTAAGGCTCTTAAATGCAGGTGATTTTTTCACATATTTTTGCATATTTGTAGATTTTGTACTTCAATATATGTAAGTGAAACAGATGAATCTGATAAGTAGCATCGCATTTTAGGAACAAAGATGAATATGATATGTCACACGGTATTTTAGGAACCAAACATGGATTTTAACAGAAATAACACCTTCTTGAGGGAGGTGCTCAAGATCATCTGGTTGTTAGCCTGCAACTCAAATAAATAGGTTTAGAACATACTTAACGTTATAGGAACATATATCGCGAACAGAAAAGAGAAAACAACAACAAAGTCTCGAAGTTCTTTTAAGTACTTGCTTATCTGCTAGCCAAATAAATTGAAGTAAGAGATAATGAAGGAGAAAGGCATGACAGATTTCAGCTAAAAGAAGTTTTACAATTCTAAAAAGAAATTCTTGTTATAGCTCAATGGAAGTATGTAACGACCCGGCCGGTCGTTTTGAGCTCTAGAGCGTCGTTCGGTGCTTTGAGTCCATGAGTAGCTTCACTTCAGGTATTATGACTTGTACGCGTGGTCGGAACTGAATTTCGTGAAGTTCGGAGTTGATTTAGAAAGAAAATTTTAATTTCGGAAGCTTTAAGTTGGAGAAATTGACTAAGGTGTGATCTTTGAGTAAACGACCTCGGAATCTGAATTTGAAGGTTCCAACAGGTTCGTGTGATAATTTTGGACTTGAGTGTATATTCGGATCGGGTTTTGGATGTCCCGGGAGCGTTTTGGCGCCCATTGTGGAAAGTTGGCATTTGGAAGGATTTCATAAATTTGGGATGGAAGTGTATCTTAATATTATCGATGTCTGTTTGGGATTCCGAGTATGAGAATAGCTCTTTATGGTGATTTTTGGTATTGGGAAGCGTGTCCGGATGAGGATTTAGAGGTCCGTAGGGTCAGTTT